AACAATTGCGCCTGTCTTGAATTCCTGAGTGCACTCTTTATTTTTGTCATTTCTTCGACCAGATGCTTTCAGGTATTCAGTATAGGAATATGAAACCTCAAAGACAAAGCTTTGTTATTCTGTTAATTTCATACAGCTGAAAGACAACTCAGTGAAGATTGATACTGACATTTTATAGCCTACACAATAACAAATTTACTAGTTGGGAGCTCACTCTGGCAAAATTTTCGTATAAATCATTATCTGTATAGAGCCGAAAATAACACGTTTTGGGATTGCCAAGTTTTCAAATTACTTCCTCGTAAACCATGGCTTAAACGGACTTCAAATCACGTGAAAATCAATAATTTTTAACCAGATTTTAGAGACGTTTTTTGATCTGACGCCAGGCACTGCAAGTGCGGTAAATTGTCTTCATCTTCTTCCGGTTTCATCTGAAACCCTCTTGTCGGTGTATTCGTCAAACTGGATGTACACGTTTCTTAGGCTCTATAGCTAGCACTTTCTCTTTCTCGCTTTTTCTGATTGGTTTGTCTTTGAAGACGGATCTGGAACCCTACTAGCTTATTGTTCATTCAAGTCTGAGTTAAAGTTTCACAGCATTAGAAGGGAAATCATTGTTTCTTGATAAATATAATTTATGTCTTGCATTCTATATGAAAATAAACTTGTTATGGGCCATGATAATGAAGGAATACTTTTGTATAGATAGATAGATAGCTTTGGCCTCAAATTATTAACTGCCAATGCTTCCGCAATATATAGTAAATAGAAAATTAATCTAGAAGTAGTATTCATCATGGACTGACATCAGTTGTGGAACCACTGGAAATCTGGAAGCACTGGACAGCTGTTTCGTCCTAGCATGGGACTTCTCAGCAGTACGCACCCACGGCCCGGCTAGGGGTCGAACTCAGGACCTTCAGGTTTCATGGCGAACGCGTTAATCATTCAGCCACTGGGTCGGTTCCCAGTGGTTCACAATTTCCGGCTTCTGTCAGTTCACGACATAGCGCGACTGCCACCCAAGGTCTTCAGTTAGCATCCACTTCACTTACGACTGGTTGGCTCCACAGGTCACGGCTTCTCATTAGAACTTCCTGACATCCATCTGGAACCAATGGTTCCCCAACTGATGTCAGTCCATGATGAATACTACTTCTAAATTAAGAATCCCCACTTATCTCAGAAAATTAATCGTTTGTGAAGGTTCAGCCGGATTTTGTAAACGATATCAAACGAAATTTTTAAGGCTATTTAGCTTCACTTTCGACAGTACTCTTGAAGCAGTTATCAAAGAAGAGCATGGTTATGTAGATCCATCATCCGGAGATATTTTCGACCCATGATGTCGTCGAACCGTATGACGATATATACGTTGCGTGTAATATCTAACTAATGGTCACTTTGCCTTATATCATGCGTAAAGTTAAAAATAGGTGAAAACTCACATTCGCTCTCATTTATGACGGTGAACGATTGGGAACAACTGTATTGTTGTATACTTGGTATTCATAGGCTAGTCTGAGCCACAGACTCCAGTGTGATTTTCGTTGATTTGTAAAATATTAGGTTTACAATACTTCTATGCGATTACTTGTGTTCTTTGCTTGTAAAATTTAGCTACTGTTTGCCATAACTGGTCATTGCTGCCTCTGTAAAAAATTTTGTTTTATTGACTATGCTGCACATTTGATGCTATTTTTCTGTAGTATGTTCGGTCATAGTGGAGACTGTCATTATGAAGGGATTTTTGTCCAGTTACTGAATTTATCCCATTGCGTTGACATCTCTGGCTTGCACATGTGCCACAAATGTAACCTCAGTAGCTTGAATATCTTAACTCATTCGCAAACTCTAGGGCTAGCTGTATGAAACAATGAGATGCTAAATTTATCACGACAAATCCTGAAACCAAGGCTGGGTGTGTTGAACTGGTATCCGTTAATGCGTTACAAATGAAGTCCTAGAGATTACATTTTTCCCCATATTGAGGCCTTATTCAACAATGCTTAGTGTAAATCAGCGGTTATCTTGTTGCATCTTTCCTTAATAATGTAATGCTATATCTATCAGCCTATAGATTTTTCTCTTGTGGCCCGTTTCTTGAAACTTGTACCTGGTCTTCAACTTGCATCATTTATTTTCGGTTTACTTCCAGGATGATGAAACAATTCAAGAATGGGAAAGGAATGTCAGTTGAAGTTCATAAACCGTTGTAGAAGTCAGGTAGCACCAAAGCCAACTATATAAACGGTTCCTAAAAAGACGCGCATATCACTCTACCACACCGGAGTTGTATGGTATAATCTTGAGACGTAGGCTAACATCAGCCATTAGAAAAACATATTACACAGCTAATCTTATTGTAGAAAAAACAAAACAAATTATTCACCGCAAACCTAAACACTGCATAAATGATTGCTTCACATCCTACTGTTTTTACCAGTTTACATTTGTGTGTGGTCACACATACATAAGAAGGAATAATCGAGACATGCAGTTGAGGTTGGGAGAATATGTACCTAAATGGCTTCAGAAACAAATGGAGTGTGAAACCCTTATAACCACGGGTAGGAGATGACCCTCTTCATCTGTAGCTAAACACTTTTAGAGCAGGTCAGAAAACTAACATTTAAATAATTTTTAAAGTTTTATGTAGAAACGCATTCTCAGATTTGCGGAGTCGTTAGCGATAAATAAATGGAAACCGCCATTATTTGTACAAAAACAATTTGTTCTTACAATTCAGAAGTAGTCATTTGCATTGATTGTGTAATCAGTCATCAACCTCTGTCAAGTTACTTCACTAGAAATTAGTTCAAACTTACGATTGTTTGTGACAGTACAATTTCTAAAGATAATGTTATATGCTCCATCATTTGGGAATCTTTTTATACTAATGTTCTGTGACATGAAACAAGGGACTATAATTGTGGTTATATCACTATGAATAGCATTCAGCTAGCATCACCAGCTGATCTTATCAATGATAGCACTCTAGCATGTACAGAAAACATTTTATTCCGGTTCTAGAGTAAATCATCGACATAAACTGATGGTTTTCCTCTAGAGAATACTTCTAAACTCTGTTAGCTGATGGGTGTATGATGGAAAGTATAATAAAAAGTTTACTTTCTATAGACACTATTTAGATGATACTTCAGTCACAGGTGATAATCAGGAATCATTCCATGATTTTAATGCTTTGTCTAATTCTATTCATTCAAATGACGCCTGAAATTAAAATAGGCGATCAATTTAGTTTTTTGGGTATTTTAATAGCAATACGAAATGACGGAACCACTAAAAGATCAATATTTTTAGGGGAAAATATTAAATGAATAACATATTCCTTTCAGTAGCTTCGTTCCTAGCTATCATAAACGTTCTTAGGTTACACTCCTCTTCTCAAAAGCTCGTATAATATATACCAATTGTACACTGGATAGTGGGATGCTATACTTACATTCAGTTTTATAGACTTTTGGGTGCTTAAAAACAACTTCATCATCATAGGAAAGATAAACCACTCACTGAAAAGACAGCTATGTAGTAAAGAAATCTGTCTTCAGTAAAATGGTATTTAGAGATAGCAAACCTATTCAACTGTAGGACTTCAGTTGGCTACCAAACACACTACGCTGCTTTCATTTTAGCGCCAACATTTATAGGATAGAATTCCATTGATTCGACTTCAAATTGCTACAAGCGTATATAGATGGAGATGATAAAGTGTATTTTTGTGTCACCGAAAAATTGTTCCTTGGTGCTCATTACATCACATGATTAACCCAAGTGCACTTAACATTAAAAGAAATCCAGCAGGATCTCTTACTACGCATATACTGATAACTGGTCATAAGACCAATGTCAATGACTGTTATTCAGTTTTTTCATAATTTCAAACCAAAGTTATTAGAGGTGATGAAAGCACTTTGAACTAATCACACACAAAATTAGTTTATATATTAGTTGATTCTACTTTTCGTCTATCCTGAACTATTATAATGAATGATTACAAATATACCCTTTTATCTCAAGTAACTTCGATCTATTGAATGTGGATTGCTGTGTCCCAAACTAGGACTAAACAGTTGTCCAGTTCTCCTAAGTTTTCGGTGGTTCTCCATTTGACATCAGTTCATGATGAAAACCGCTTTGAAATCAGTCAACCGATACGAACCACCAGTTGCAATAATTTACTATTGTGCATTATGTTAGTTATTATGCAGTTGAAGAGAAACTGTAACATGATATCATCTCGAAATAGTTATCTTCTGGATGCCGAAAGGTAACTTGTTTTAAACTTTGGAAAAATCTGGTCCTTCTGAAAATCGGTTCCATGTATTTTATTTTGCGCACAAATATTTTAATTTAAAGGCATGTAAACTACAAATAGATCTTGGTGATACAAGATCAAACATATATGTTGATCTTTGGTTGCAGTGTATGCCTGAATTTCTAGGCTTCAATTATTCCTTACGGCCGTACTGTGACACTATTGCACTAGTCTATGACAAAATTATTTCAACACAGCTATGCTATCCATTCTAAAGACAGACCATTTTTTCTTCAGCATAAATTTCCGTTTTGTTTTGCCGGTTTTAATGCGTGAATTTAGTCACCAGTAACAATGTGCAGACAAGCCTTGATCCTGGTTAGAATAAATTGTTATGTTTACATCTGTTGTGAGAGCATAAGAGTGCCGGTTAATTTTGTCAATATAGAAAAGTCAAGCTTTTAATGCATAGTGTCACATCAACGTTTAGGAGATATTGAAAAAAATTCAGTCAATTTACCAAATCGTGTTTACTTGTCAAAATGAATAGTTTTCAACTTTTTTTATGAGTTTGTAATGAATAGAATCCATGTACTGAAATACTTCAGTGCCGAAAATCAGTTTATTACCTTTGATAGTCTTCACTTGTTAAACTCAGAGTTTCAGTTGCTTGACTTTTGGTGGCTGGAAGGATCGATTGACTTGACTAGAATGAAGGGTGACTGCCACCATAAGGATAACTCTTCTGTCCTACTTTTTTTTAGGCTCATCAATGTACACTATAAACAGTTTATGGGATCAAAATTGGAACCATCATTGTGCATAGACCTATTTTCGTCTTACTTCCCATTTCAAAATGGAATTTATAAGCTATAGGCATTGAAAAAGATTTTCAGTTTTAAAAAATATATTTATAATGATGTTCCTAGTGGTTAATATCAACTAGTGACTAAGATGAAAAAAATCGGTCCAAGTGAAGTAAGACTTATTTATGTTATCCACTACTCATGAGTAACATTTTTACACTTGTATTTCAGGTGTATTTATATTATTCGAAAGTGGATCCAACTATACGGGAAAGATAGTTAAAATCCCACATTCATTTCATGTTGTTTTCAACTTGCCAATATATAATATCAACATTTTAGTAACATGTACAAACTCAGGATGAAGAAATATTTCCGAACATTCCCATTTCTTCGCTTATTTTTAGTAATTAATTCTATCTCCTTTTTGATTTATTTTCTTTTGCTTTTAATTAATAATTATCGTTTTCCTAATTCAAATTATCATGCCTCTGTTATCCGTGATCATGACGAGACTCGTTTAGCTCATCTACGCTCATTAATCTACGATTGGTACACTTCAGGGAAACTTCCTTTTTCCTATAGATCACCATCATTATCGCTTTCATCTTCTTCGTCATCGTCTATGACTGACAAATACGGTATCATCATAGGTATACTGTTATCAAATCATCCTGAATACAAAATTGATGACTATCAAACTTACTATTTGACCGAGTCTCTGGCAACATTAATTCAGCTAATATTTCAAGATATTTCAAAGTATGGTTATCGATTTAAATCAATCAGTATAATTATATGTTCTGGTGGAAGTAATCAAACTATTAGTAAGAATATTCCAAGTTCCAATGAAATTGTACGCCTTGTTGGAAAAAATTCAATCCGTCCACTTTCAACAGATAGAGATCAGTCTTTGTTGAATTTATCTCTCAGTTGTTTAGTTGTTAAGGCTACTTCAAAGTGTATGCTAGAAGCATTCAAGTTGACGAAAGCGCAAGAAAATGATTATATTCTCATTATGCGAGATGATATGATTCCAAGAGATAACTTATTTGATGTATTATGGAAGATATTGTACCAACCTGTAAACAGTCATACACTTGGCATGATTCAGTTGTATTCACGTGATAATGTGCTGAAATTTCCATTTCATCATGGTACTGATAGAAAGATTTTTGAATTATCATTCAGTCTTATTTCATTGAGTGTAATAGTTGTACTCTTTACTTTTACACGCTTCACTGCTAGACCATTCATTGCAGCGTATAATGTGGTTTTATTTCTTTGCACTTTCATAACACTATTCATGTTGATGTTTATGTATGGGGTGAGTAATCTGTCGATCCGATTACGCAACCTACTAATTGTTCATCATAAAGTTTCTCACCTCACAGGTCAACCATATTATGCACAATCCGATATGACTATGGCTAGCTTGTATCCAGCTGAACAGGTGAAACATATCGGTTACTACCTGAATTCAGCTGCGCCATGTAATCATTTTTTGCATGAGCTGAAACAAGATGAATCAAAAACCTCCCAATTGATTACATCATATCTTGTGTCGAATTTTAAACAAATATTTAGTGTTTACTTAAATGTCTTCAAACATGTTGGATTGTATTCATATGAAGAAAATCGAATGTTGGATCCAGGAGATGTTGAGGAGTAATCTGACTGTGATTTTCTTAAGGAATACTTTTTCTTTACATTTTTATACTTTCACTCTAGTGTTATCACCGGTAGTACAGATAATGAATGAATATTTTTTTTCTTATCAACACAGACTTTTGCCTCTATGATAGCCGTCAGATTTGAACGGGCTGCAGTCGGATTCAAGTCAGCGCCAGTGTATGGCTTAGAAACTGGAATACTAGATTGATAAATCGAAGGTCATCACTTTTAATCCGGTCATACTCCAAATTTGTATTTGTCTCTTGTTATTATCCTCAAACGGATAACAAACGCTACTTCATGAGTGACGACTGAATTCCAAAGAAGATTCGGTTTATGTGAAGATTCAAACCATAGGCTTTTGATATAAGGTTGAATCTGTTAACTGACATATCCGGAAGAAATCTAAGGGTTTCCTCTTCAATTCTCAAATGAATATTTGTCAATCAATAAGTTAGTCATTTGGGTATTTAACTATTCGCTGAATTCTGTCTGGAGGTTTGTGGAGATTTATTAATTGATTTTAGGTTGGAATTCATCATGGACTGACATCCGCCGGAGGAACATTGGAAACCTGGGAGTACTTGACAGCTGTTTCGTCCTAGTATGGGACTCCTCGACAGTGCGCACCTACGACCCCACCCCATCAGGGATCGAACCCAGGACCTTCAGGTTCCATGGCCAGCATGTTACCATTGAGGTTGCTGGGTCCGGCATCCAGTGGTCCATATTTCCTACTTCTGTCAGTTCAAGATATAGCGCGACTTACATCTAATGTCGTCGTTGGACAACTCTCATGTTCGACTTGCTTGACTTTACTGGTCACGACTTCTCATTGGAACTTCGGGAATCACCTCTCGAAGTTAGTCACCAATGAGGACTAAATCAATTGAATTTGGGGTTTGTGGGGATTCAGTGATTTTTTAAGTTGGTATTCATCATGGACTGACATCAGTTAGAGGACAAACAGCTGTCCAGTGCTCCCAGGTTTCCAATTGTTGTCAGCCCACGATGAATACCAACTTGAAACTGTCTAATTACTGTTCATAGTCAGTCACTTCAAGGTATAACTTTGGACAATAAATTGTGTCCAAAACGTTATCCGGTAAAATAATACTATTTCACTGTGATACATCCAATAACTAAAGTTAATTGGAAGTACTTCTGGATTTAAAGTAATCCATCTTGTATTTGCGACCGTAAGTAAAAGCTATCCGTTAGCTTTGCCATGCTTGTTATGGGTTATCGCGCTCCCCGTAAATATGCCTGTTTTTTTGACAGTATGTTTTACTTATTTTTACACCCTTTAAAACACCGTTTATCATTTGATCTTGTTTTATATGGTTTATTCATGTGCAAAGTATTGGCATCTGCGGTTCAAAAGGGGTGAGTCTGTTTCCCAAGAATGATGCTCACAAATTAGAGTAAGGTAATAGTAGCTTTAAATTATAGTACAAAAGAGTTATGATTGTGGTTTTCACTCCAAGTCACATTGTAATTGGCAGTAAATTAAGTCGTGAAGAAAATCAAAAGACAATGGATACATTTTTATATACAGCTGTAAATTCAGTGTCAAGTGTTCATCTACGATGCAGTACTCTGTTTATAAGTAAGGTGGTTAATGCACAACAGGTAAAAAAAATGGTTTTAGTAGGACTTCACCGATAAAAATTATAAAGTGTGACATATCATGTTAAGCAAATTATACTAGTGTTATACAACATTAGAGACTGTATCACTGGTCGTGACGGCCTTATTCTATTCATTCTTGACATGTTGGATTGCATGATCTATAGAGGATGGATGGTGCAAAACTAGTTTCAAATTCGCCTTCTGCAAGCATCACAAAACACAAACGACTGCGTGCAAAGATGGTTATGAATCATTCTGTAAGGTTTAGTAGTATAATTATTCATTTTCAATGCAAACTGAAACATTGATGAACGATTTCGAAATTTAGACCTAAGACTATTTTCAAAAATAGGAGGAATAATGGTTTCTTAATCATTCCCATACCTTGAAGTTTTCGGTTCAATCTGAAAGTGCACTTAAATACAACAATGGTGTCCTTCAAACGAATATCCTTATGTTTTTTGTTTTTCACATGAACATAGTGAGTATGGGTAACCTGCTCTCATCGTAAAAAGCACCAGTCACATACTTTAAACAGCTTATTAACTGCATCCTCTACCTGTTCCCAGCTGGAAAATGACTTCCGTGACACCATTTCGTGGCCTGCCTCAGTTGTCTACTGAGACTGCAATATTCTTGGGAGCTTGGGATATGCTATTTAAAAAACTTATTAGCCAGTAAATGAAAACAGGAAAATCCAGTAGAAAGCATAATACAAGGGAATTAATACTTTCCGTTGCATAGTAATGTTGCACAACCGCTATTGTTCAATAAAAGTTAGAAACCTACCGTTTTAGAGCCATTATTCCCTTTCTTAACATAAAGCAACTAGCGCTTTCGATACAGATGCCAATTTGCGTTCACCAATGCACCTACAAAAGAAAATGCAGCAATCAGTTGTCTGTAATGAGTGAATGGTGATAATTATAACCTCTTCGTCTACAAAAAATTCCACTTATTGCACTGTATCACCTACTATGAAGCCCATTCCCTACAATACCTACCTATTATTATATTATTTGTCCCTTGGGTTCCTAGTGGAACATAGGGCTTCAGTAGCACGCCTCCATTCCACTCTGTTCTCTGCAATCTTTTGAACCTGACTCCACGACTGCCCAGAAGCTCTCATTTCCTCCTCACACGATCTCCTCCATGTCACTTTCGACTTGGACGCCCAACTCGTCGCTTGCCATCTCGGTTCCACTCGAGTGCCTGGCCTGGCGCGTGATGTCCCCGAATGGCCTACTCAGTGTATGCCCAATCCATCTCCACTTCCTTCTGCATATTTGTTGTGCGGTAGGCTCTTGGTTCGTTACCAGCTAGCCACAGTTCCTTATTGATTATTCTTTCTGACCATCTGATCTTCAGTAACGAGCCAGCTTAGGCAGTTGTTGATGAATATCTGTAATTTGTTGGAAATGCTTTTCGTAACGCATCAAGTCTCTGAACCATATAGAAGCACTGACTTGACATTAATGTTGAAAATCCGGATCTTGTTCAGGCTTTATGCTGAGTGGAGTGCAGTAGATCTCCACACTGGTTTCAGGTTAAGGAACGCGTGTCTTACTGTCCTTCCGGTCCTGGCTTTGACATTCTCGTCTGTGCCGCTGCCTGTAGTTGAAATGATGCTGCCCAGACAGGTGAAAGAGGCTACTTCCTTTAGGTTTCTCCCGTTAATGGTGATTGATGCTTGTTGTTGATGCTGTTGTTGGTTGGGTATCTTCATCACCTCTGTCTTCTCTATATTCACTTGAAGTTCCATCTTCGCTGCCTCGCCACTTCTGTTAACTTGTTGGTTTTTGTCTGTAGATCTTCAAGTTTGTGCGACATTATACAGAAGTCATCACTGGCGAAATCCAAATCTTCTAGGATCTTTTCCCCGGTCCAGCCAGCGTATCCCCCTCTTCTCGCTCATCACTGTTTGCTGCATGATCCAGTCCACCACAATCAGGAATATCGTAAGTGATGGTAGACAGCATTGTCTTACTCCTGTCTCCACTTCAAAGGCATCACTGAGTTTTCCATTGTGAATTACTTGGCATGTGGCATCTTCATGTAGTTGTTGAATGAGGTTGATAAAGGTTTGTGGTATTCCGTAGTGTTGAAGCCGTTTCCAAAACAATACTTACTTGGACACTACTAAATATGAGAAAACCACTTCAATTCTGTCGCTCAAAGTTGATTGGAAGCGGAAGTGAGTCACATTCGTTTGGAGATAACTTTTAATAACACCCCGTATTTATTTGAGCGCATTGAAAATTTCCATTTATGCGTTCAACATAAAAAGATGAATTCAGTGAGGAAATATTTTTTTGCAATTAGTTCCTTATCATCAGCTCTACATTAATATATAAAGGTGAATAAATCAGTGTAACGATCAATTGTAGATACGTTTTCTTCTAGTCTGTAGGTAGGTACGTTGTTGCGGAGGGGGGGGGGTGCGTAGAGCAGTGTGAGTTTAGTGGTGACCACGAGAATCTGAAGGGAAAGGAGGAAGAAAAAAAAAGCGAGCCGATGACCCAGCAAGTACATGGGATGTAGTTATATTTAGTAATAAAAGATAACCGACAAATGGTAGGGTTTGACAACTAAGAGGTGAGGCAGTCTAGAAATCGAAACTGGAAGGTGAATGAGCAAGATTTCTAATGTGTTACAGCAACTAAACATGATGGATGTCAATGTATTGTTATTTGACTGACTGCTTAAACAAGGTGACAACTATCCAAAAAAGTACCTAAAGAAACATTTCTCTTCAGTAACTTCAATAAAATGTGCAAGCAAACGGAAGAAATTGCCGTTAGATCAGGTCCACTGCTTTAGGAACTGTCCTCATGCGAACTTGACAGACGCCGAAGTCAATTACTAATTATTCATACTTGTAATATACTCACGAATACGAGACCTAAGAAGAACACAATAGCGTAGTCAGGTAGAATAGTATATTTGAGAGATCTTGCCAAAATACGGATGCGTTCCGACCAGCTGGCTAGAGGATCGATTACCAGCAGTGCAACGTAACGCAGCTGCGTGCTAAATGGCGTGGATGCTTAGCCGTGTACCTTCAGCATAGCGAGTCCGATAAAACTTTGAAGGTTAGCATCAATGTTGAGTCTCGTTGAACTCTAGGCTATTGATTTTGGGAAGGTACGTGACGCAACATCGCTATTCCTAGCAGACGTCTACGGACAGCTGAGACATAACCTGCTCCAAAATCTGATGGATGAGACAGTGCTGATGTCAGTGATTATAGATACACTTTCTCCACGTACAAATTCAGTTATCGACGCAATCCAGTATGTGTTGGAGAGTAATGAAGAAGAGTTAGCTATGATAAACTACAGAATAAAAGTGAAGCAAGATGGGTAC